TTTGGTACACAATTGGTATTCAATATACGGCACTCAGCATCACTAAAGGGGCAATGTTTAGAAGACTGGCTCATATGGACAGAAAGTAAATATAAATTTGAATTCTTTTTTTTTTTTTTTTGATACTGGGGATTGAACCAAGGGGCATTTAACCACTGAGCCACATCCCCAGCCCTTTCCTGTATTTTATTTAGAGACAGGGTCTCACTGAGTTTTCCAGGTTGGCCCAGAACTGGCACTCCTCCAGCCTCAGACTCTCAAGGAGCTGGGATTACAGGCGTGTGCCACCACCCTACCCTCAAGACAGAATATTGCTCAAGAAGCACTGCCTTGGTGAAATATAAGTCATATTCTTTGAACTATCTTTTGATTGTGAGTATAGCCCCTTGGGAGGAAATGGAACAATTTTATAGTAGACAAGTTGTTCATAGTACTAACTGAAAAAGCAAGAGCTGGGCATGGTAGCGCAAGTCTATGATCCCAGTGGCTAGGGAGGCTGAGGCCCTAAGCAACTTAGTGAGATCCTGTCTCTAAGTTAAAAGTAAAAAGGGCTGAGGATGTGGCTCGATTATACAGTGCCCTTGGGTTCAATCCCTGGCCCTCCCCCCAAAACAGCAGTCTATTCGAATAACATTTGAGGTGTTTCTCAAAGTCAGTCTTTCCCTGAAGACACAACAGCACTCAAATATTGCATATTCTGAAGATAGGCAGGAAACAATGACTTCAGATGTATGCACTGACACAGGAAGAAAAAAAAATGCTATTATGATCAAACTTTTCTGTAGCACTAGAGGGCAGGAATCACCAAGGACTAGAAGTGCCTCTGGATTATGAAGAGCCTGAACTTTCACTTTCAGAATCAACCAGACCTCATTTGCTAATCCCTCCACCTCCACTCAGATTTGGTTTGGTGAGGTATTGTGGTGGGGGGTGGCCTTCAATGCTCATTAATAGTAGAGAGAGAGGAAAGCTGACCCAAAGCAACTGCCTACATCTGAAACGCATGAACAGTCCATAGGTAGACAGTGATGTGCACATGTTGCTTCATCCCTTCCATGGATCCCTCCTTCAAGGTGTACATTTTATAAAACCCTTTGTGGAGCTCAAGTTGTGGCTCAGTGGTAAAGCACTCGCCTAGCACATGTGAGGCCCTGGTTCGATCCTCAGCACCTCATAACAATAAATAAAATAAAGGTATTGTGTCCAACTACAAAACAACAACAACAAACTCTTTTTGACACCTGAAACGTGAATCAAATTCAAGACAGCTTTTAAATAGCTGGTGCAGTGGTGCACATCGGTAATCCTAGCAACTCAGGAGCCTGAGGCAGGAGGACCACAAGTTCAAGGTCAGCCTCAGTAACTCAGCAAGATGCTGTTTCAAATAAAAAATAAAAAGAGCTGGGAGCTGGGGATGTAGTTCAGCAGTAGAACACCCTGTCCTAGGAGCTATCCCCAGGATTACAGAAAGAAAGAAAGAAAGAAAGAAAGAAAGAAAGAGAGAGAGAGAGAGAGAGAGAGAGAGAGAGAGAGAGAGAAAGAGAGAGGGGGGGAGGGGGGGAGAGGGAGAGAGGGAAGGAGGGAGGGAGGGAAGCAAAGCCTTCAAATATATGCCCAAAGTAAACATTAAAAATGAAAAGTAAGGGCTGGAGTGTAGCTCAGTGGTAGAGTGTGTGCTGAGCATGCAAGTGGCCCTGGTTCAATCCCCAACACCAAAAATAAATAAATAGGGCTGGGTTTGTGGCTCAGTGGCAGAGTGCTCGCCTAGCACACAAGAGGCCCTGGGTTTCAATCCTCAGCACCACATAAAAATAAAGGTATTGTGTCCAACTAAAAAAATAAATATTAAAAAAAAGAAAATTTTTCAAAAAATTAAAAATTAAAGGTATTGTATTCACCTACAACTAAAAAATAAATATTTAAATAAATAAATAAAGGCTCATGCCCAACTCTAAAAGTCCTCCACAGGTCTCCAGGTAGGGAAGCAACAAAATGCTAGCCAAGGAAACCAGCTTTGTAGGGCATGGTGGTGCACACCTGTAATCCCAGCTACTGGGAAGGCTGAGGGGGGAGGATTACTGAATTCAAGGTCATTCTGGGCAACTTAATGTGACTGTCACAAGGTAAAACAAAAAAAGATCTGGGGATGTAGCTCAGTGATAGAACTGTTGCTTAGCATGTTTGAGGCCCTGGGTTCAATCTGTGGCACCACCAACACCCACAAAAACCAGAAAGAGAGAGAGAGAGAGAGAGAGAGAGAGAGAGAGACACAGAGACAAACACACACACACACAGACATATAAAAAGGGCTGGGCACATAGCACTGAACTACACCCTCAGTACTTGCCCAGCATGCTCAAGATCCT